ACAATGCGCATCATGCAGGGTTGCGTTAAACGTGCGTGGACGGCTCTTACCGTTTGTTGATAATCCGTCACGAGCCCACACACCTGCCGGTCACTTCCTTGCGTTCGAACAAGTCAGGCACTCTGGAATGGCACGAGACAGCCCTGCACTGGGTGGTAATTAGGTGAATGTAATGTTGAGGAAGTGCAGGAACTGGGGATGGGGGACTGCTGTCACCCAGGCGTCAAACCACCACCGTAGTCTTCATCATCCTTGCAGTGACAAGTGACAAATCAAATGTCAAATTGAAATTAAAAATGTAAATCACGAGGGCATCTCCGGAATGCTTTCTCCGGGTTGGGTCCCACTGCTCGCCCCTTCTTTGTCTCATCACAGCGGAACTGTCCTCATCCAGATCCGCCAATTTGGAATAGACAGCAGCGGCACGAGACTAGACGGAGCAAGAAGCCATAGCGAAGCAGGAAGAGAAGAAGCAGGGGGGGGAGGGGCGGCTTGTTGTCGGCGTCTCGCCTTGCCGGTTTCCACAGTCACAACAAATATTCTCATTAACTCGCTCGTTTAATTACAGCCGGGTGTTCATTTCCTGGCGGTGGCCGGACTCCGAGTGGACCCTTGCAGGAGCAGGGAAGGACAGGCGGCAGCTCGGGCCGGAGCGGAGTGCTGCAGCAATATAGCCACTTGGGAAATCATAAAAAGTTCATGTTCACGTTAAGCGCGTCCACATGACCCGCCCGTCGGCCAATCCCCGCGCGCGGTCACTCATAAACTTGTATCACAAAGTTGTAAATTTTCATAAAACAACAAAGAATTTATTGCATTTCTTCATGGAGTGTTGTTAGAACCGAGCTGCTCCTTCTCTTATTTCATTCTCCAGGCCGCCATTTTCTTCTTCGACCGCTTCTTAAAAAGCAAGCTAAAAGCTTTCAAAGCACTGGAGAGCGTGAAGAATTTTGCCACGCGTTATTGTGGATTTTTCATGTCATGCTTTATATTATTTGATTTTTGTTCGTTTTAGATAATTAGACAGAGCTTCCTTATTATCTTCACTGGCATATTTGCATTATATTTTCATTAACGACACGTGACAATATTTAGACCCAAAATGTTTCAGAAACCAGATGTAGCTATATAAAGACAAGGTAGGAGGAATAATGTGGAGCAAACAAGTTTCTGTTTCCATACTGCATTTGAGATTTTTTTAGTACAACACCAATATTCCGTGTTCTGCTGTTGTAAGAAGACCTGGTGTCAAAACACAGACAAGTTTTCTTTTGTGAAAGTGGCACGAACGTAAAGTCTGCGTCCCTGGTGCTGAAATATGAATCAACTGAATCAACAGAAATCTCTCATCCTTTGAAGCCGCCTATGCGACATTTTTTAATCATTAATTAATTAGTTTAAACGTCATTCTTTGCGTTTAAAGTGTTATGACACAAGGGATTGAACGCAGTGTATCGTAGCCTACTGTGGAAATGTATGAGTGAAAATTAGTTAAATGAGAGATCCCTAGACAAACAACAACAACAACAACAACAAAAAACAGCAGTGGAGTGTAGTACCTGTCCCGGCTTGAAACGTTGTGAGTAAAAGTGGTTTCGCAATGCGGCAAGGCGTCACCATTTAAAACCTGCAGGCCCGAAGCCGAGAATAGCCAGAAACTGCAGCGAAAGTATATTAATGTTTTTACAGATATACAGTTAGAAATCGGAAATGTTCAAGCACATCAGAGCTTCATTTAAACGACGAGTGTCTGGACTACACCTGACGTAAAGTCTTTGAACGCATCATTTTATTTGGTAATGCAGGTCTTGTTCTCCCACAAAGAAGTCCAAATCCAACGCTTCCTGAATCTTAAAGAGGTTGCAGTCTAAATTGCTGCAGTATGACGAACCATTCCCCGCATCTACTACAAGAAGATCTCTTCAAAGAATATAAGACCTTTCAAACGTTTAAATTAGGTTTCGTTGATATTAAAACCCAGCTTATAAGCGAATTTGCTTTGACAGCAGACTGGAACCACGTCACATATGATCAAAAGCGCCAATATTAGCAGAATTAGTATTTTCTGTGTTGTTAGTCAAGTTAGTCTGCATTTATCGCTGTCATCCTCTGTATGATGCGTCCTATTTACAGGCTCGACGTTTGGCAGATTTCAGATTTTCTTTTAAACCCTCACTGACCCATGTGTGACCTTTCCAAACCAACACACTGTCTGGTTAGCAGGAGAAGGGGATCCGATGCTTCCTCTATCTGAATAGCTCGAGTTAAATTTTAACTGAAAACAAAACAACTGCATAGAGCAGATAGAGCAGGACGAAGAAATAGTCCATCCTCCCATCTGCTTTATTCGTCCTGTCTGATGCCTTTATTGGAGTTTTTGGCCTCTTCATGGATGCAACCCCACCCCCCCCCCCACCCCCCCCCCCCCCCCCCCCCCCCCCCCCCCCCCCCCCCCCCCCCCCCCCCCCCCCCCACACACTCATGTTATGATACTGGGTGGCTTTTTAAGGCAAACACTCCTTGAAATGTCTGATGATACTAAAGGCGCAAACTTGATATTTTTGGCCGAAGAAAAATGGATGTAACAACAACACAAGAAAGTCCATTTTTTTCTTATCTTAAGTAACAAAGATTTTCTGCTGATGCTAAAGGACTTGGATTATTGAAGCACGTTTTTGTAAATAACACCCTTTTCTTTAGTAACATAAAAAAGATTTTTAAATATTGAAACGGTGATGAATAAAAAGCGTTAGCCTTTATTACAGTTTTTTACAGACGCTAGGACACATTTCCCAATACTTAGGTCACTTTTGCAAAACACTTCACACAATCCTCCTAACTGACCGTCAGCTTGGCAAAGCAGTTCATTTCACATTCAAAATGCACTACAACTACCAAAACACTTATTCAGGTCTCAAATAAACTCATTCTTCCAGAACACTAGCAAAGGTTGACAGCCGACAAACACACTTTGTCACCCACAAAACAATGACCTAAAAAACACTAACAACATGTAGCATTACACAGTGTTTTCTTGTGTAAAACAAGGACACATCTCTGTTTATAATTTCAATATATGTTACTGGAATGAATCAGACATCATGCAGAATTCGTTAATATTTGTTTATGTATTTTTATTTTTTTGCACTAAGTAATCCCAAAATACAAGAATTTGTATACACACCATCCACTGATACACATACAATAGTAATGCTAATCTACTCGGTCTTCTCCATTTGGCCACAGGTTCTCATCCACATCACATCTTATGTCATCTAGGGCAAACACCTAGGAAAGAATCTTCTGGCTGCCAGAATTGAAGGAGTTGAAAAATTGAAGGAGTAACACCTGTGTAGATGTTCATCTACAATGAGAATAAGCTGTGGCTGGTTAAACTGCATTTTTAGATTTAAAATATGTTTCAATAAAATATTGCTGTTGGATTTTGCTGTCTTTTTAAGTTTTGCATTGTGTTATTGTTTTGGCCATAAGTTTAACAGTTTTGAAAACAGTATGTAAGCACATGCAAAATGTCCTGTACGTACAAAGATTTTTGGCAGTTGTTGTGTCTGAGTGAGAAGATAATTCATGAAATTTGAGAGATGTAGTCATTGAATGCATTTTGTGCCAAAACAATGATAACTGGTCCTCAGTTTAGCCCACATAGACTTCTGTTGTGCTCACTGTGTGAGGAGTTTTGCAAACGTGACCTAAGTATTGAGAAATGTGTCCTAGCGTCTGTAAAAAACTGTAATGTTATAGATCGATGTATAGTCAATAATGTTTAGTTGTTTGTTTTAAAATCCAGCAAACAAACAAAACAACTGCGTTTTGTACAAATATTTGATCCCACTAGATACCAAATCTTGTATTTTATTACATTATAATTCCATCCTTTAGTTTTACAGGGCTCGAAGAATACTGTGCTAGCATCAATTATATCTAAGCACATCTTTCAAAATAAGCGACTGTTAAAAATTAAGTTTAGGGGAAAATATTATATTCAGTCTTCATTTGTCTAATATTTGTCACTAAAATTATGTTTTTAGTATATAAATTACTTCAAGTAACACACACACACGGTAATATTATAGATATAATTAATATATAATATATATATATATATAGTATATATGTATATATATATATATATATATATATATATATTATAATTAATTTAATTTGTATATATATATTATATATATATATACTATAACTAAGTAAGGAAGCACATGGTGAAAACAGTCGATTAATTTAATTTATTTAAAAACGTGATCATTTAAAATAAAATCTGCCTTCTGCTACAACGAAATTTGTTGGAGCACCTTACCACATAATGTTTCATATGAAATGTCTCGGTCTATCTTTATACATTTATGGTAACAACGACTTATAAGGTAAAACAGAACTTTCAGACACTAAATAACACAAAAACAAACAGGAGTATAATGCAGTACTGCTCGCGGACAATTCTTCCTACCGTGGATCAGTTTTCCCATTAAGCAGAATACCTGCTGAGTCATTAAAAAAATAAATCTTACTGTTTAATCTATTAGTAGCATTAAAATATGGGGGGAGGGGGGGATATAAATTAACCTCTTCCGCTAAATATTGAGAGGACAAATCAAAATATTGCGGAGGGGATTGCCTACTTTCGCTCTGAAGTGATAATAAGAACAATAATAACAGAAACAAAAAGCTAGTATAGCTCTTGGATTTTGATTTATGGGCTCAGACTTTTTCAAACATAAAAATGTATACATACATAATTGCACATGGAATAGATATTACTAACACGAATCCACAGAAGTCACAAGTGCTGCTGTTTCATTCATTGCATCAACAACCATCTCGTGCCTTTCTGCCACAAATCAAATGAGGCAATAACCCGAAGGAGTCTAGGATTCTTGAATTGTAACAGAAGAGTTCTGTGTTGAAAATGGTCCTATACTGTAAATTCTGATACATTTTTCTTATCTCTTAAAATCTATGGTCACACATCAGTCCTCCTCATCGACCGCCTCCTCTTCTTCTCGACTCACTGCTGTGGGGGCGCCACTCTTCGTCACAATGTTCTCCTTTTTCCACTTCATCCTCCGATTTTGGAACCAGATCTTGATCTGTCTCTCTGTGAGGCCGAGCGCGTGCGCGACCTCTATCCGCCGTTTACGCGTTAGGTACCGGTTGAAGTGGAACTCCTTCTCCAGCTCGAGGGTTTGATGCCGCGTGTACGTCTGTCGGCCTCTTCGTCTGTCAGAGCCTGGACAGAAGAAAACACATTCTCTTTCAAAACAAAATCTTCCTACTCGAAAGATTAGGAAATATGATGTAGGTTAAAAAACGCTTGTTGACTCGTCGGTTAGTTTTCGAATCCACTTTCTGGCAAACCCGAAAAACTTCTAAATGATGGGGAAACGCGTAGTTTCAGCTTCTGCCTGTCTGAGATATACTTCTATCCTTTTCACCTACAAAAATAATGAAAGAATTTAGAAAAACGGGCATAATCAGTCTGACTGTGATTACTGATGTGTAATTTTTAACTAATTAATACAGTCAGTGTAAACGGACACGTGCACATGGCAATGTTGGTAGAGAACTGTTAATTCAATTTAAAACTAAAGAAAAAAGCCTCTTCTTGTGAAAAATGCATGAATCCGTGAAACTGCATTGACCTCCTGTGTTTATGAGGTCACACATCGCCTGAAGGTTAAAAAAAAATAGGTCACATTTTTAAATCTCAAAGGTCATTTGCCGGCCACAAAAACGTTCAAGCGCATTTCCTCTGCACGTCGCAGTAAAAGAAAGCTTCTTGTACTGCACCCATGACATTTAGAGATCAGTGGAAATCTATTGTGTACTGGACGATTTTCAATTGGGATCACAGTGAACGAAATTTTTAGGTGTACCCAGTGAAAATCTAGGTATAGCAACCGAGAAGGTATTTTACATGGTTCCTGTAAAATATTTACACATGATGGACGGATCACAATCTGTATCAACATCATTGTCTATAAAGACATCATTAATGGGGCAAATATATATTTATCATTAGGAATGACCAGTGTTGGGTAAGTTACTTTAAATTAGTAACTTAGTTTCATTACTAGTTACTTCTATCAAAAGTAACTCAGTTACTTCAAGTTACTCGTTACTTTCAGAGTAACTAGTTACTAGGGAAAGTAACTTTGGTTTTACTCAGAATTCTCTTGTTAATGTGTTGCTTCGTAACTGGATACCCAGCAAGATTGCCAGTCTTCTAGCTTGCTTACTTGCCACAAGTGCACTGTGCCACCTACCAATAGAAAGGAAAAAATAATGTGCACATTTCCACGAGAGAAATCCCACCTGATTCTATCCTAGCCTGCTTTTTACATCCAACACAAAAACTGCAGTCGTGGTGCTTTCGATTGTACTCAGAACTCGGAAATTCTGCCTTCTGAATAGGAAGATGTAGGTAACACCAGACTGCAGATGATGAATTCTC